CTGCAATGCTTGGTAAGAAATGTATGCATTATCCTGCCCATGCAATTGTAACCCCTCTGTACAGTATGTTCACAAATAAAATAAAATAAAATTAAAAAAAAATGATTGGTAATTTCTGATCTGAGTAGTGCTGATTTCTTCTCAAAACATTTGCACAAAGGATAGGAATGTGGCTTAGTAGTAAAGTGCTTGCCTAGCATGTAGGAAGCCGTGGGTTGATTCATCAGTACCACATAAACAAAAAAGCTGGAAGTAGCACTGTGGCTCAAGTGGCAGAATGTTAGCCTTAAGCAAAAGAAGCTCAGGGACAATGCCCAGGCTCAGAGTCCAAGCCCTAGAACCAGTAAAACCACCACCACCAACAAGAACAACAACAAAAACTCAAAGAAAAAAATTGCACAATTCTAAAAGATGCTAAATAGCTGATATTTCTTAGAAAACAAAATTCTACAGTCCTTGTTGGTATGGAAGAGTTGATGACACTTTAGACTCCTACAAACACCCTGAAAAAAACATATCAGGCCACAGGGATACCCCCAATACACTATGACTGCAACCCAAGCCTGACCCAGATCAGGCCATGATGGGACTAAGGTACTTAGAACCTCAAACCACAGTCAGCTACTTATTCTTCTTGCTCAGTAAAAGATACCCCTTTACTGGTAGGAGATAAATATCCCGAGGAATTTCTACACATTTTAAAGACAATGTCTATCAACAAAAAAATCAGTAAGAAGAGACAAAATTATATGACTAGAAAAAAGTCATGAAACAAAACCACCAATAGGTAGGTAAACAATAAATGTCAATAAATGATGACTTTCAATAAATGGTGACTTTAAATGACTGTTACTAATATGCTCAAATAAAATAGAGACAAATTAAAAATTTGAAAATAAAGAGTTCCAGCCAAGAATTTCAACTTGCAATCCCAGATATTCAGGAAGATGGGAATGGTGGCACAAATGGATCACCCTGACTACATAGGAGGCACAAATAGGAAAGTTGAGGATCAGGCAGGCTCAGGCAAAAAAAATGAGAACCTACCAAAAAATAATTAATGCATAAAACAACCCAGGGTGTGGCTCAAATGGTAGAGCCCCCCCTAGCAAGTGCAAGGCCCTAATTGAGAGAGAGAGACAGAGACAGAGGCAGAGAGACAGAGACAGAGAGACAGAGAGACAGAGAGAGAGAGAGAGAGAGAAAGGGACCGAGACCAAGACTGAGACCTAAGAACTAAATATCTCCAACCTGAAGTTCTAACTACTAGATCTCTTTCATTTTCCTACCAAGGCATTCATTATGTCTTTTTTTTGGGGGGGAGGGTCCAGTCGTGGGGCCTGAACTCTGGGCCCGGGCACTGTCCCTCAGCTCTTCAGCTCAAGGCTAGCACTCCACCACTTGAGCCACAGCGCCACTTCAGGCTTTTTTCTTTTTGCTTATGTGGTGCTGGGGAATCGAACCCAGGGCCTCAGGCATGCAAGGCAAGCACTCCACCACAGAGCCATCTCCCCAGCCCCTCATTATGTCTTTATACTAATTTCCTTGAAGCTAATAGAAGACACAATGGTAGGGACCACAATAAAAAGAAACAAAATGCAAAAGTTAATAAAAATGATAAAAAAAATGATTCTAGATGTCAGTACTGATAAATGGAGCATGAGATTTTATAAACTAAAGACTTCAGGCAGGCACCGGTGGCTCGCACTTGTAACCCTAGCTACTCAGGAGACTAAGATCTGAGGATCACGATTCAAAGCCAGCCCAGGCAGGAAAAGTCTGTGAGACTCTTATCTCCAATAAACCACTAGAAAACTGCAACTGGCACTGTGGCTCAAGTGATAGGATGCTCACCTTGAGCTGAAGGGAGCAAGACAGTGCCCAAGCCCAGAGTTCAAGCCCCATGACCTACAAAAACAAAAAACAAAACCCAAATAGTTGTCTGGTTAGGTTTGCCAGAAGGTAACATTTTCACCAGGTTATAGTTCAACACATTTTTTTTCTCTCTTATTAAAGGGCAAAATAAGAGCAACTGTCACTTACAGGCAGGTGTGTGAATACAGCAAAGGTGCTGCGCAAGAAGGCAATGAGGTCTACTAGGTAATCACTTGCTTTGTTGTGTAAATCTCCTGTCATCCAGTCGTAGTCTGCTAGCTGTAGAAACTGATCAATCTTCTGATTTAAATTGGTATAAATCTCTTCTTCAGCTGCATGCCTAGCATCCTGTGAAATAATATGAAATTTGAAAAATCACATACACTTCCAGTATAAAAAGACAGAAGTCAGCCGGGTGCCAGTGGCTCATGTCTGGAATCCTAGCTACTCAGGAGGCTGAGATCTGAGGATCGTGGTTCAAAGCCAGCCCGGGGAAGAAAGTCCGTGAAACTCTTATCTCTAATAAATCAGAAAACCAGAAGTGGTGCTGTAGCTCAAGTAGTAGGTAGAGTGCTAGCCTTGAGCTGAAGAGCTGAGGGACAGTGCTCAGGCCCAGCGTTCAATTCCCATGACCAACAAAAAAACAAAAAAAAAAAACCCCAAGACAGAAGTCTTAGCAACTTGGCATGAGATCACATTTATATCCATTTAGTAACACAGTAGGAATACCGAATCATGTTTCCTTCCTTTTGACTAAAAGCATGCTGCAGTCATTTCTAGCTTTGTTTGGGGTTTTTTGCTTGTTTTCTCTGCAAGAAATCCTATTATTTTGTTGCACTGAATGGGACAACTAGCTTCACGACACTTAGTAATCTTTATTATTTTAATTTTATCTCTGTTCAAAACTAAGTTTGGAATCCTATTCCTTTTCTACTCTAGGAACTCCAAGCAGCTTCATTCCTGCCAAAAACAAGTTCTCTATACCCTCTGCTTCCATCATACAGTTTAGAAGTATCCTCATGTATCCACTTAATCTTATCTCTTCTTGCTAGTTACTGTCATAGCTTTCTGGTTTCTTTATCATCAACTTTTCTGAAGGACTGACATATACTGAGCTTTCCTAAAATTGTGACTACACAACACCCATCCTGCAAGTTGCTAAGACAATAGCAAAGAGTCCCAAGATCAAAGGAGTTAATAACAGATACATGATAAACACAAGCATATTAAAGGCTCTAGGAAGTATTACTGGATTTATTTTCCTAGGAAAAATATTTTCAGGACAAACAACATGGATGAGTTCATGCCCACCCAGCATCAATAACTTGCTACCATATCCCACATTCATTTTTCAGTGTGTTCTTAATGTCTATTAAACATCCTCTACTTAAAATGGTGTCTATGCATGGCCTTAATGATACAGTGTACTCCTGACTTTTCATCTACTTCTCTAGACTCAAGACTTCTCATTTATCCTGAATGATTTGTTACGCAAATAATGTAGCATTTAATGGATCTATGAAAAATATATTCTCCTTCAAGCACCAGGTACTTGGCTGCTTATGGATACCTTTAGCCTCTAGAAAATTTAGAATGGAAAGGTGGAGGTCTCAGCTCATTATATTCTATATTGTTCACATGTTCATTCAGACCTAGGAAGAAGACTAAGGAACAGATTAGATTCCATTCTTTCATTCACTTGACAGTAAATTCTATAAATTCCTAAACTTCTTTAACCTGTAAAAATAACTGACTAGTTAACATTAACTAGTGAGAACAGACATGGTAAAACCAAAGAATATTTATAAGCAATGCAAAAGAGCTAAAGGATATAGAGGAACTTCCACGTGTTTAAATTCAGCATAACTTTACATTTGCATACTTTAATGTAGTTCATGACTATATAAATGTTTTTAAAGTAATTGCAATTTATAAAAAAAAATTTTTTTTGATCAGTCGTGGGTCTTCAACTCTGGGCCTAGGTGCTGTCCCTGAGCTCTTCAGCTCAAAGCAAGCACTCTACTGCTTGAGCTACAGCGCCACTTCCAGTTTTCTGGCAGTTAATTGGAGATAAGAGTCTCATGGACTTTTCTGCCCAGGTTGGCTTTGAACCGAGATCCTCAGATCTCAGCCTCCTGAGTATATAGGATGACAGGTGTAAGCCTAGCAAAAATCATTATTTTTACAACTTACATATATAGACTATATATGTGTATATATTGTGGAACATATTGAACTAACAAATATAAATAACACACTAATTATATCATAAATCACATTGTATATGTATAACTTCTGTGATGAAAACCCTTGAAAGCTATTTGCAAAGAAATTTTCAAGAGCACAACATATTAATTACAGTCACCATGTTGAAGAAGTCCTCTGAAAATAATGCCCAATTCAAATTAGGTATCGTTGACCAAAACTACACAAGCCCTGTCCCCAACTCCACACCCAGCCCATGTGACTGTGCTTCTGCTCTCCACATCTGAGTTCAATGTTTTTAGATTCCACAAGTGATCTTAATAGAGATCATGTGACACCTGTCTTGTGGTGTCTGCCTAATGTCAAGTAACATAATGCCCTCCAGGTTCAGCCAAGTTGTCACAGAAGAACAGGAATTCCTTCATTCTTTCCCCTCCCACACGCCCACTCCCATTCCCACCCCACAAGTGCTAGGGCTTGAACTCAGGGCTTGGGCACTACCCCTGAGCCTCTTTGTGCTCAAGGCTGGCACGCCACCACTTGAGCCACAGCACCACTTCCAGCTATTTCTGCGTAGTTTGTTCGGCGTAAGAGTCTCAAGACCTTTCCTGCTTGGGCTAGCTTGGAACTGCAAGCCTCAGATTTCAATTTCCTGAGTAGCTAGGATTACAGGAGTGAGGAACCAACACCTGGCAATTCCTAAGGCTCAATAAATTCTATTATGATATTCTCCACACTCCATTCCATACTTCAATATGGTGACGAACACATAAATTGACTTGTTGGCTACTGGGGATCGGCCACAATGAGTATGGGAGTGCATGTGTCATCCCAACATACTGATTTAATTTGCTTTCTGTTATGTATCAGGAGTATTTCCCATAATTTACTGTACTAATTTACATATTCCCAAACAGGTGCACTTTTCTTCACATCCTTCCCATCATTTCTCAGCATCTGCCTTACTGCTGGTAGCCATTCTACCAGGTATAAGGTGACTTTTCACTTTGATGTTAATTTACATTTGTCTCACAATTAGGAAAGTTGAGCATTATTCACATAGCTTTGGCCACTGGTATGCAGTAGTTAAGAAATGTCTTCTAAGGTCCTTTGCTCTTGTTTAATAGTGCTATTTGTTTTATTACTATAGAGCTGTAAGCATTTATAAGAAATTTTGGAAATTGATCCTTTATCAGATCTACCTGGCTTTCAGATGTGTTCTCCCATTCTGAAGTCTGACATGTGTCCTCATTGACTGACTGTTGTTGTACAGACCCTTTTTAGTTGGAGGTAATCTGTTCATTGTTACTTTTGTCACCTGTACTTGAATAGTCATATAAAAAAGAAAAATCATTGCCCAGGCCAATGACATTGAGCTTTTTTTCATTGTCTTCTTCTAGCATCTGAGGCCTAAGATTTCTATCTTTAATTCACCTGGAATTGATTTTTTAATATTGTGTGAAGTGATGGATAAGTTTTTCTCCTCCCTCCACCTTCAAGAATGAGGATTAAACCCAAGGCCTTTATGTATGCTAGAAAAGTCCTCTACTCTTGAGTCCTTTACCACTCAATGACATAGTCTTGTACTTTTTTGCCCTAGATCCACCTCAAATGGCAATCCTCCTACCGCTGCCTCCTGAGCAGCAGGGATTAAAGATTTGTACCACCACTTCCAGCTTGCTTATTGAGATTGCATCTAAATTGTTTTTCTTTTGAGGGGTGGGAGCAGGCACTAGTCTCAGACCATCATCATCCTTTTTTTGCCTCCAGAGTAGCTAGGTGTTCTTCCACACCTCTCCCAGTCATACTTCTTACACAGTATGCCCTTTTATTTGGATTTCTAGGCTCTCCTTTTTGTAGTTTCATTAAGCTGTGTGTCTGTTTTTAGGACAATACCATTTGGGGTTTTATTGGTGCTATTTTTGGAGGTAGTGGGGATTGAATTCAGGACCTTGCACTTGCTAGGCTGATGTTCCACCAGTTGAGCCATGGTTAATTTGAAGTTATTCTGCCTGGGATGTTTTGAACCATAATCCTCCAGATCTCAGCCTTCTGTGTGATTAATTAATTTAATTATTTTATTTTATTAATGAATTAACTAATTTTTGTCAGTCCTGGGGCTTCACCTCAGGGCATGGGATGCACCTGAGCTGCTTTTACACAAGGCCAGCACTCTACTACTTCAGCCACAACACCACTTCCGGCTTTTACTGTTTATGTGATCCTGAAGAATCTAATCTGGGGCTTCATGCATGCTAGGCAAGCACTCTACCACTAGCCCCCAGACATGATTTTGAAACCAAGTAGTACTGGGATATCTCTAGCTTTTATCTTCTTGGTCATGATAAGTTTGACTATGAAAATCATTTGCCTTTTAATATGTCATAGGATTGCTTGATCTAACACTGTACAATTGAAATTTTGCTAAAGACTGGATTAAATATGTAAATCAATGTGGGTAGCATGGAGTTTTTTTAAAAAATATAATAAAGTCTCACTATGTTACCCTCAAATTCCTGTGCTCAAGTGATCCCTGCTTCAGCCTAGTAGCTGGGATTACAGAAGCAAACAACTATGCCTAGCCATCATTTCAATATTAATTCTTCTAATCCAGGAAAATAATGTCCTTATTTATTTGTGTCTTGCACAATTTTTTCATCAATGTTTTATAATATTTAACAGGTCTTTCACCTACAAAGACTTTATGCTTATATTGTTACACTGCTTTTATGATAATCTTAAATTAACCATGAATTACTATTTTACTAGGCTTTTTTCATTAGAAGACAATTTTTGAACATTTTGAGTTTGAGAAAAAGTTAGCAGAAAGTACAGCCTTTCCCTTCAATACATGCTATTACCCCTTGCATTAGTGTGTAAACTTTTACAAGTAATGACTCAGTATTAGAATTTTACTACTAATGAAAGTCTGTAATTTACATTACAGTTTATCCTTTCTGTTCTCTAGGTATTAAAAAATACACGTTAAATATTTACCAATACAATATCATACACAAGTTTGTATGGTATAGTCTCTGCACCACAAATCATCCATCCATCCCTCAAATCTTCCCAGCTACTAATACTTTAATTGTCTTTTTTATTTTGTCATTTCAGGATATCAGAGTTAGGAACATAATGTG